GAGTGGTTTGCTCAGCTCCCTGAGTGAGACCGACCCTGAATTGGGTGAAGATGTAGTCCTGGAGCCTGTGCTGGGGATCTGCTTGGAGCCCCGGGATAACATAGTGTGTCTGACATCAATCCCTGGCTTCCTTCACCTCGTTCAGGGACTCTATTTGGAGTTGTTTAAGAGGCTGTATTTATTGATGGGATGAAGAGCCCTGGGAGTAGGTGATCTGTCCCCAATGGTTGTCCTGGTCATTATTTATTGTTGATTTGAGGAGCTGGCAGCTCTCTTTCTAAGGGCAGAGAAGATGGGTGCTGGTCAGGCTACAAGGTGGGAAGTGTGTGTATGTGTGTGTGTGTGTGTGTGTGTGTGTGTGTGTGTGTGTGTGTGTGTGTGTGTGTACATGTGGTTTTCAATAATTGGTTTACTTGAAAGAGGGAAACAGAGAGATACTTCATATGCTAGTTTACCCTCCAAATGGATAGTTCCTTGCCTCTCCCCACAAAACCCTTGGGCTGGGCCAGGCTGAAACCAGGAGCCAAGAACTCCATCCTTGCCTCCCAGGTACACGGCATGAACTCAGGCGCTTGGCCATGATTTGCTGCCTCCCAGGTGCATTAGCAGGAGGCTGAATCGGAAACAGAAGTGGAACTGGATCCCAAGCACTCTGACATGTTATAATGGTGTCCCAAGTGGTGGCTTAACTCAATGTGCTACATACCTACCTCCCCTTTTTTGTGTGCTTCACAGAATGGGATGGCCCCGAAAGGACAGCTGCACTTGGAGCACTCCTCAGCTCATGCCAAGTGTGGGGCTCTCGGGATGGGGAGTCTGGCAGATCAGTATTGGAATCCTGGTGCTGTGCAACTTTGCTCAAGCCATGGGACATCGGTAAGCCCATTTCCACCTGTAAAATGGAAATGGAAAGTATAGTTACCTAGAGGGAAGTATTTTAAAACGGGGGTGAGTGGAGTATAAACCCATCTGTGCACTGCATCTGATTCAGTGCAGGAGACATGGTGTGAAATGGGTGTGGATGGGGGTTGCCTAGGATAAGACAGAGTGAGAAGATGGCCCTGGACGGGCCCCAAGGAGCCACAGCACTTCAGGACAGGCTAGAAGACAAGCTCACACAGGAGACACAAGAGGAGCAGCTGGTACAGAGGGTGGGAGACACGAGAAGTCAAGGCCACAAAATCCAGAAGGAGCCGGTCCAGGTGGAGGAGACGTTACTACCCAAGGTAGCCTGGAGGGCTAAGGAGGTGAGAATTGTGATGTGTCCTTGGATTTGACAACAAGGATGGCCCTGCCGGCCACAGCAAAGGCCATTTTAGGTGGACGAGTGAGGGTAGAGCCAGAAAATATTGGGCTAAGGTAGGGTTGGGAGGCGAGGAAGAAGAGAAGGCTGAAATGCTTCCTGGGAGGACTCAAGCATTATTGCAGTTGTCCTAGCCGGTTTCGTGTTGCTATGAAAGTGTACACCATGGCCTGAGACAAATGTTTCGCTCACAGTTCTGAAAGTTGGGAAGACTAAGGTCAAGGAGCTGCCATCTGCTTGGCAGTCAGCAGGGATCCTCTTACTGTACCATCCCCAAGCTGGAAGGAGGAAGGACCAATAAAAAAAAAAAAGTGCCTGAGTTAGTTCCTTCTGGCTGTTTGTTATTAGTAATAACATGAGTAGTAGTAATCATGAGCTTCACCCTCCTGACCTAGATATCTCTCACTATCTCTTACTAGGTCCCAGCTCTCCAGACTGTGGCATCCGGGATCAAGCTTTGAAGTTTTGTGGGTTTTTTTCTGGGGGAGAGGGGCGGGTCGGGGAGGATTGGGTAGGGAGATAGTGACAAAACTGTAGCATTCTCAGTACCCATGATGGAGACTGCTCCAGCTCTAGCTAGCAGGTTCACTGACTTGAAATGAAAGGCAATCTGATTTGTCCTGAAGTTGGGGAAAGGAACTCCCTCCAGAGCTGGTCCTCCCTTCCCTTCTCATGGGGAGAATCCTGTCCTCTGGGATAATGAAGTACTACTTATCAATGCTCATCTTTCCAATAAAAATAAAGAAATCTTTTTTTTTTAATTAAGGATTTTTATTGGAAAGTCAGATTTACAGAGGAAGAGACACAGAAAGTTCTTTTGTCTGCTGGTTCACTCCCCAAGTGGCTGCAATGGCCGGAGCTGAGCTGACCTGAAGCCTCCCCAGCACCAAACAGGAAGGCCTGGAGACAGACCCCTGGTGTGGAAGCCTTAGCCTAGCTCACCTGTGGCACCAAGTGGGTCCAGTCCCTTCTGCTGAGATCTCAGGATAGGGCGTTGGGCAGCGGTGAAGCTCCAAATCCCACCAGCTCTGACCTTCCTAGGTGCAGACTTCTATACTCCTTTTTTTTTCTTTTAATATTTATTTTTATTGGAAAGGCAAGTATACAGAGAGGAGGAGAGACAGAGAGGAAGATCTTCCATTTGATGATTCATTCCCCAAGTGGCCCCAACAGCTAGAGCTGAGCCAATCCGAAGCCAGGAGCCTCTTCCGGGTCTCCCACATGGGTACAGGGTCCCAAAGCTTTGGGCTGTCCTAGGCTGCTTTCCCAGGCCACAAGCAGGGAGCCACCAGGATTAGAATCAGTGCCCATATGGGATTTGGGTGTGCTCAAGGTGAGGACTTTAACCACTATGCTATCACGCGGTGCCCTTCTACACTCCTTTTAGCAGTTCTTTACATCCAGTCTCCATGATGGCAAAACCAGTGTCTTAGAGAAGGCCAGATCTCTACTCCCTTCAGTCTCCATGAATGAACCTTACTCCCCAGATTTCTGGCCCTAAATGTGGCTTTTCTCTCTTGTAATGGTTCCTAATTGCCTTAAGAAGTAAGCCTTAATGAGGTTTTGGGAGGAGGGGGCACAGTGCCTCAAACTCCAGCCACAGGAGAAATCACAATATATGTGGTCCGACCTTGGAGTGCATGTGTGGGGACTGGGCCTCCTCAGTTGCTGATGCCTCTGCAGTGATCAGCATGCCCAGATACACAGCGAGCACTTGACAGCCTGCACATCTAGGCCAGCAGAGGATGTTGAGTGCCTCGTCTGAGGATGGAAAACAGAACAGAACGGATCCCTCTCCTGGCCAAGCTCTGTGGCAAGTGTCTGGGTGAGTGGATGCACTCAAGTGGACTTGGTCAGCCAACAGACCTTAGAAAAATGATCTCAACCCTGATGCAATGAAGCCAACAATGTCTTAGAACTACTGAAGCCACTCAAGTGACACTCTGGGAACACTCTTCCTCAATTGGGGGTCTCTAAGGCAGCATCACAAGACCGTCCCACCATCCCCCCACCATCCACCAGGGCCTGATGTAGTTTGACTGCAGGGAGCAGCTTCCTCCCCTTCATTGCCTGATGACACAAGAGGAAAGAAAAAAAAGGGAAACATCTGTCCCACTCACCCACCTTCCTCCATCCCTGGATCCTCCCCACCCTAATCAGAGACCCACATGAACACACATCCCTTTCAACTAAGTAAATAATGTTAAAAATAAAAACATAAAAAAAAAATCAAGCCTTAAGTCTTCAGCTCAGCATTGAAAACACTGCCCAGTCTTGTTCTACCCCGACCTCATTTTCCACGCACCCCCAGGCTTCTCTTCTCACGGCTCCTAGGATTTTGTTTGTATCCTCACTGCCAAGCCAGGGCCCACGTTGGGTCCCATGTCCTAACACCTTTTCGTGACTTTCATCTCCTTCAAGGGCCAGAATATCTGCTCTTCATATATATATTTTTTTGAAAGGTAGAGAGGGCTCTTCCATCTTCTATTGGTCCATTCCCCACTAATGCTCCGAAGAGTCCGGGCTGGGTCAAGCCAAAGCCGGAGCCCAGAACTCGCTCAGCACCTCCCACGTGGTGGAAGGATCCCAGCCACTTGCGCCAGCATCTGCTGCCCTCCCTCCCAAGGAGCACGATTAGCAGGAGCCTGCGATGAGGAGCAGGGCAGATTTCCTTATGGGATGCAGGCTAGCCCGCTCTTCTGTGCTGAATATCAACTTGGGGACCCATTACAATGATCAGGCACCCTAAGGCCCTTCCTCCTGGGCTGCTTCTAAAATGTTCTATATCACTGGGATTCTCCTAGCTGTCTGGAAGCCCAGGCCGGGGGGAGCGGGACGGGCTGGTGGGACAAGGACGGGATGTGGACTTGTGAGGATATGGGACAAGGACGGGGATGTGGAGCTGTGAGGATACGGGACAAGGACGGGATGTGGAGCTGTGAGGATACAACAGGGCCCCGTGCTTGTTGTCAAGGCCTTAGCTCTGAGCAGCCCCGCTTCCCTAGCAGGTATGTCTCAAAAGCAACGGACTGTGGCCGGCCGCAGCTCCCTCCTCACGGACCGCTCTGTCGGACCCAAGGGTGAGCAGGAACGTGAAGGGGTGTCCACGAGGTGGTCCCCGAAGGCCAGTTCCGACCCAGCCCGAGCGCCGGGCGTGGCCCCGCGGCCTGGCGGGCCTCCCCGGGCTCCGCGGGGCCGGTCTGCCGGCTCGAGGGCTCGCGGCTTCTGCCTCGCCAGTGGCTTTATTCGCTTTTGCAGGGAACAGAGGAAGCCTCTTCCGAAGCCAGGATCTCTAGCGTGGAATCTACGGGCGCTTCCCAAGCCCGCCATGACGGCGCCCCCTCCTCAGGCTCCGCAATCCCCACCCCTGCTTCTCTCTCACCTCTCCCACCTCCCGGCTCTGCGACGTTCAACTGCAGCACTCGCACTGCGCCTGCGCGGCTCCCGGGCGGGGCGGTGGCGGCAGCTATTTATAGTAGGTGACGTCATCTTGAAAAAGACCGTTAGGGCTGGCCCGCCCTTCCCCTCCCCCCCCGCCGCCCGCCGCTCGCCCACTCCCGCCGCCTGGCTGGGCGGCTCCTACCGCGCAGGCGCGGTCTCGGCCCCGCCCCGTCCGCCTCTTCCCTTCACATCCCCGCCCTCACCCCGTCGCGCGCGGCCGGCGGGTTCTCCTCCCTGAGCGGCGTCGGCGGCGAAAGCCACAGCGCGGCGGGGCGAGCCAGCGAGCAGGGCGCGAGCGGCGGCGCTGCCTGCAGCCAGCAGGGCGCGTGCGCGGCGGCGGCGGCGGCGGCGGCGGCGACCGGGGAGCGGCCGAAGGAGCGCGCGGTGCGAGGCGAGAGGCGAGAGGAGAGGCGAGCGACATGGGGGACCGTGAGCAGCTGCTGCAGCGGGCGCGGCTGGCCGAGCAGGCGGAGCGCTACGACGATATGGCCTCCGCCATGAAGGCGGTGAGCGCGCCGGGGAGCCCCGCGCGGCCGGCCCGGGGAGTGGGATGGAGGGGTGTGGGGTCTGGAGGGTGGGTTGTCCGCCGACGTGCTGGGGTCGGGCGGGAAGGTGGATGATTGAGGGGGGCGGCGGGGCGCTGCGGCTCCCTCCTCATGGTTCCCGGCCACCCCGCCAGCCGCCTGGGCGCGGCCGCCCGCACTCCCCGCGTTTCCCGCGAATCCCCCGCCATTTCCTGACTTCGGACCCTGGGTGGGGTCCCCGGTGGAGGGAGGAAGGGAGGTGGTCGCGAATGGAAGCCTCGCGGAGGGGTGAGGGTGGATGAGCAGACGGGGCGGGGGTCGCTGCATCCTCACTCCGTGTGAGGGTTTTGAAACGTGAGGAAGCCGCAACGCTTCTAGATCCTTCTACCGGGTCTGAGGAGGGGAGGGGGAAGACTCACCTTCCTCTCGCCTTTCAACTTGTAAAGAAAAAGAACAACAACAAAAAAATCTCTTGAGGGGAATGGCGGTGCCCTATCCCGGTTTTCTGTGCCACGACCTGAATGAAACCCGTGCAATTGGGAATTTGATTTTTTGTTCTTTGCTCTTTTCGCTTGAATTATTCCAGTTCCCACCCTCCCACGCTCGGGGTCTGGGCTTTGTGTGCGATAGACTCCCCCTCCCCTGCATTCCAGGCGTGGACGCGGGCGCGGGCCGGAGGATGGGGGAGGAGGTTGGGGGGGGACCTGACATTGTGTGGTTCCAGGTGGGGTGTCGCCCCCTCTGCTCTGGAACCCGAGCAGGTGACACGAACCTGGGTGCCTTCGCTTGCCCGGGTCCCTTAGGGCAGTTTGATTTTCTCGGGTACCGAGCGGTGGCCAGCCACACCCTGGCAGATGCCGTGGATGTAGACGCCACCTGCTCCAGTCACCATCTCGCGGTCCCTTGTCGCTTCGTATCGCGATCTGAACATTTTTAATTCCCCCCCACCCCCCAATGAAACGTTACTTCTCTCTGCGCCAAGGTCACGCAGTGATAAGAGCTGCAACTGGCGGGGCAGCAGCGTGCTGTGTTCATCCCGTGGACGACCTGGGAGGATTGGGACTCCACAATCTTAATAGACCCACTTGAAAATTCAGAAATTCAGGATTGGGGGGTTAGAGGAGGGGAGGGAAGTGAGACTCAAAAAACGCAGTTTATCCAGCTTTGTAGGTGAGTTTGGCTTAAGCTGCAAGGCAATTAGTATTCCCTCCTGGGTTAGTTTTGCTGGCCCTTTGAAGGGGTTGCTTTAAAAAAAAAAATCCTGCTAATTTATGAAGCACTCACATTTTGCCATCATGGAAAAAGCTCATTAGAAGGATTTTGATCACCGGTATCAGATGACATAGGTTTGTTGAGGGCAAGATTTAGGATTATCCAGGTGAGAAAGGTGTTTGAGTTAAAAAAAAATGTAAAAGACGTCTCTGGCCAATTTTATGGAAACCACACTGTGAAAGCATTTTCCTGGGAGGGACCCTGAAACTTGATTTCTTTGAGGAGTCAGGGAATGCTGTGTTCACAGGGCCAGCTGCATTTACACAGACCTCTTCGCCTCAGTAATTGACCCCGGGATAATTGGGTCTTTACCCACCTGTGAATGGGACGTAAGGCTGCAGTCCCTGGAATGGGGACATGAGCACGTTGAAAAGAGGGTTTGAAGGTGAATTGAGGTTAAGGAAGAATAGTTGGATGGTACATTCTAGAATTATTGGGAACCTGAGGCAACTGCTGAGATGGGAAATAGGAAAGAACCAGGTGGTGATACCAGAACAATATGGAGTTTGAGGGAAAAAAGCATCAGCCTCCTGATTTCATAAACAGGTTTGCTGCTTTCTTGCTACAATTCCTTTGGGCTGTAAATTTTTCTCAGGGTTTAAGGTGGGGGCTTTCTTAACTAATGGGCCCCTCATTGTGGTAGGAGTCTGTCGCATCAGTCAATCTGAAGTGACGGGTGGGTTGGAAAAACCATCCAGCCTTGAGAATCTAATTCAGTCTCATCATGTCATCTCCAAAATTGTGATCTGCAATTCTTTCAAAATGACTCCTCTTAAAAACATATTTTTTGGCCTTTTTGCCTCGTAAAAACATTTTGCTTTTATCTTCTAGTTAATGAAACATCAGAAAGGATTTGTCAGGGTCATTGGAGAACAGCTTCTTGTTTCCACTGTGAAATTGTAGGTTCGATTCCTAATATTAATTGGAGCCACTCTATCTCCATATGGTTAATACAGACCTTAACTAGCGCTTGTGGAAAGTGAATTACAGAGTCTGTGTGGGCTTATGTGGGCTTGCTTCTTGGTGATGGAAGGGCAGGTAAGTCGATTGCCACAGGGAGGATGGAGTAGCAGGACACTTGAGGGAGGGGAGGTTTTAATGCCACCACTGTGACCTTGAAGCTTGGCATCTCTTGGCATCAGGTCCTCCGAAGTAGAAAACTGGGAATGGTGTTACTGACAAGTCTGTTTGCACGGCAATCTAACCTGTTCTGTTTCCTTCATGATTGAAATGGTTGCTTAGTAATACCACCTGCCTGTCCTGACTGCTCCTTACTCTCCCAGCGGCACCTGGAGGACAGTGTCGGTAAGCTTTAAGAATGCGTGTTGGAAAACCGCCGTGTGGCCTCAGATCAGTGCAGAATTAGAATTCCCTGGCTCACCTCGTAATTTCAAGAGGCAAGAATTATTTCAGCGGTGAAGTATATTAAGAATTGTCTTCAAGCTGTGCTCTTCTCATACCTGGTGGCTTCATTAAGTGTCAAAGTCAGAAGAAACACTGTGGAAGATTCTAGAACCCATATCCTTTCTTGAAATGGAGGACATAAGGGAGTCCTTAACACTTCACAGCCTCTTTTCAAATGGGCGTATGACTATCTTTTATGAGAACTACTAAGCCTATAAAATGGGATTAAAATATTAGTACAAAAGGCTAAGTGATTTAAAGGATGGGAAATAGCTAGATTTCTATCATGAATATTCATGGGGAGACAAAATTCTCTTATTGCCCTGTCATCGATTTTATATTACAGTAAGTAGGTGGTAATTGTGACGTTAGAAGATGTAAAAGTGATCTGAGATGTTCCATGGATTGGTAGTTGATTAATGTTGGCAGAACCAAGAGACACCTCTCGGGAAGAACAGCAATAGAAGCCTTAAGTGCAGTGAGACCGGACTGCCGTTGAAGGCAGTGGGAGTTGGCGAGGAAGAGGCGCTTGGCCCAGCCGGTGGCAAAAGGCTCTTACTGCAACAGCTGTGAAGTAGTGGGAAGTGGGAAGATGAGCAGGTGGTGTGTAAAAGGAGACCATGACTGAGTGGCCCGGGTGAGACCTAATCCGTGGTGCAGATAATAACGGAGGTGACTGAAGGGGCTCCGGGCTGTGGCTGCTTTGGAATCTTAAAGCCACTGGTATGAGCATGGAAATGGGTAAAAGCTAGGGAGCCCTTTTTCTTCCAAGGGTCAGTTGACACTTTATTATATCAGCTAAGGAAGAAAGAAGACTCAGGGTTATTGTAATAGTCTGAAGTAAAAGTTACTTAAGGTAGCAGAACAGCTAATAGAGATTTGCTGCCCTGAATCGTGGCCTTCATGTGATTTGGGTTCCTGGGTAAAGGCTGCATGAGCTTCTATCAAGAACCCCAGTTCTCCCTTAAATCCAGAATGTGATCACCTTTGGGATGTTAGGCATAGTTGGGTAGGTTGACCGTAGTGCCAGACTTTCCCAGGGATAGTATGGCTTAGGAGGAGGTACCCCAAATGCATTTCATACTTAATGGAATTTTTCGCTTTCATTGAAGTTCTTCTTAGTCGATAATTAGCTGTTATCCCATGTGTGCCTTCTCAGTCCTAACAGTTATTAACTTCATTGTACAAATGAAACGTGGAGGATTTTCTCATGATGAAATAAATAGCTGCAAAATTGTGAAGCCAAGTTTGAACTGAGTTTATAGTTCTCATTTTGATCACTGTGGGATAACGCCCCGTGGACCCAAAGGGTTCCCTCTGCAGCTTACATCCCGGGGTATGGCATCGTCTTCCAAGCACCCACACAAAGGTGAGGGTTAGGCTTTCTAAAGTGATTAACTTATTGGACATAAATCATCTTACCCAAGTTTGATTAGAATCAGTTTACCATTTATGGGTTTTGATTACAGCAAAGAAGCATAAGAGGGAAACTTATAAACCTAGATTTTGCTCCTTTTGAAGACCCTTGTTTGTTTTTAGCTTAATGTGCCATGTGCTTGATGTTAGTTCCTGCTATGAATTGAGGAACACAGGACTGTTGGGATACTTAAAAAAATTAATGGAAATGTGCATTGTGAAAAACTGCATGGATTCCACAGTTGTTTTTTGTACCGAGATAAACTTGCCTCTTTAATTCTGTTTTCCATACATTTTAAAAAGTACCCTCATTTTACGTGTAGTTAAATTTTTTCTTTCCCTATTGCTTGGCACCATTTATTTCTCCATATTACCTTTGATATGATTCATAGGTCCCCAACCTTCAGTCTCTAAGTTGGTGTTAAAATTAGTCTTAGTGTCCAGGTGGAGGCAGCCCGCCTTGTGCCGCACTGGTCCTCCTGTCCGCTGCCGTGGCATTCCCCCCTGCAGTGGTGGGTGTTGGCATTTCCTGTGGCCCGGAACCTGGCTTAGCTTGTGAAGCTTTAAATCCTGGTGGCTCCAGGGGACAGTAGCGTGCACTAATGCTATTCAGACGGGGCTGCATTTAATCCCTGCCAATCCCTATGAAAATGTTCAGTGATGTCAGAAGCGCAAGGCAAAGGCAGTCTCTTATTAAGACAAAGGTAGCTGTTGTATTGGATTAATGTTAGCTTTAAATGAACATGGATGACCCAAACATGGCCTGCTCTGAGCTAGCTTCGCCTATCTTCCTAGCCTAATGAGAACTGCATCCTCTCCTGACAAGAGGGGTCCAGTCTTGCATGGTGCTGGGGAGTGATCTCAGCGCAGGTAGTGTGTCAATTTGGGGCTAGACAGGATCCTCATTCTTGCAATCTTGTAACTGAATCAGCCAAAAAAGCTTTCATCTCTTTTCTCCGTTTTTTAAACATGCAGGGTTCTGCCAAGGAGAAAGGGTTTTATGATGCAGTTTATCTATTTGCTACCAACTCTCCGAAGTGAGCTGGTTGGTGGTTTGCGGGTGTGGGTAGCTGAAGGGCCAGGCGACAGCCACGTGTGTAGGCGTTGAGCTGAAGGATGGGAGAACTCCTGTTGGAGGTAACTGCTCCTGACGTTGAAGGTGCATCTGGCAGTTCCGGGTGACATTCCACTTGAGCATTATTGCTTTTGATGCTAGATTTTTCTTTTTCTCCCCAGATTAAGAACTTCGAATTTTCCTACGTAGTCCCTGTGCTATTTTTGGCAGTGAGTTTATTTTTACTCATAAACACATAGTTTATTGCCTTGCGGGTCCTGGAAGGAGGTCTCTAGGGATTTTTGAGTAAACAGTTTCATAGGAAGATAGTTAGCAGGCTGGGTTGTTTGTGACTTTTGTGTGTTGCTGTATAGTCAGAGCAAAGAAAATGGGTAAAGGGGAGTGCCCTGGGATGGGGAGTTGGTGTGGCTCAAGCCTATGTGGTAATGGCATCAGTAGGCCCACTGGCAGAGAGTCCAGTCCCCTGGAGTTGCAGAAGGCCCTCACACTCATTGCAGGGAAGGGGTCAGTAGAATTAAATAGGGTGGGAAGGTGTGCAGGATAGGAAGGCAGTAAACAGGTGTGGGGGCATTGCTGTGGTGGTGAAAGAAGGGGTTGTGACCATTGGAAGGCTTGCTGCACTGAAGGCAGCTGATAGGTGGCCAGTGAGGAATGGAAAGAAGGTTGAATCAGTTGTCTGGGTGTGTTGGGTGGCATCTACTTCCTGTTTCGAGCTGGAACTTGGGAAGCCTGTGCTTGTGGAGATGCAGCGCAGCTCGCCTCCCCGTGATGACTGAGCTGACCGGGTATGGAGCCCGGTCCCTTGCTTCCATGCTAGGACGGTGGGTTGCCTCCCAGGGTCGGCCTCTCGGAAGATGACTGCAGTTTGCACTGGCTCTGCTATTTTGGTATTTGTGATATTGGGGACTGGCGCTAACAGAAATGGAAGCTACCTCCAATCAGTGTCATCAGTTTTTGTTCCAGTGGACCATTGTGATTTCCATTAAGCCTGTTTTTAAATCTGGGGAAAGCACAGTTTTCTTTAGTTTCCTAATCAGGTTATAGATTTCATTAGTTGCCTTTTGTTAACTGAGTTACAACCAGGAGTGTTAAAACAATACTATATTTAAACTTATCCAGTTATTTCCTAGTTAGGCTCTGGCTAGGGTCCTGAGAGCAGTGTTTGCTCGCTTGGGCATGTTAGTCACCCTCAGCTGATGGCGATAGTGATTCATTCAGACTGGCAGGCAGCCAGCTGATTGTTACATAAACACTAATATGCCTAGTAAATGATTTTTTTTTCTCGTAAAGGTGTCATTGTAAATATTGCCCAGTAGTTTTTTTTTGGCAGTACATTTCTGATGGAGAAAGATTTAATGCTCATATAAATTCCTGAAGCCCACAGAGCCGCCCAAGCTTATGTTAATAGAATCACTCTCATGTCTTCCCACACCTTTAATTGGTGCCCAGGAAAGGTGGAGTCATTCATGCTGGAGCCGAAGGAGACCTTGGAGAGCATCTGAGCTGAATTTGGCTTCTCTTTTGGTTTAGGAGCACAGCTAGCTCAGACTGCACGCCAGCTGTGTTAGGTTTCAGTAGTTACACTGCTCTGTGCACGTGCTGTATGGTTGAATGCACTTCAGATGCACCCAGCGTGGGTCACATACTCTGGGAGGTTAGCTTGGTCTATCTCAGCAGCAGTCTAACAGAAGCAGCCTTATTAAGTCGTGGGATGAAGGAGACTGTGGCTTATGGATGTCGTTTATATTGAGGTCAAGTGGCCCTCACTGGATTTTATTGACATAAGAGTTCTAAAGTTCCTGTTCTTGCCTGTGTTCTGTTTTATTGAGTATTGCTGTAGAAAACCGAGTCACTCAGGAGAACTTGAGTGTTCTGGGTAATCTATGGAGTTTCTTTGTATTTCCAGAAACAAATGCAAGTATGGTGGCTGGAAGGCACTTAAAGAAGTCGGGACGGTTATAGCTCTTTAGTTGGATTTGAAGGGAGCCAGGGTTCAGAATTAGCAGAAAGGGATTTTCCTGGGCTGGGGCGGATCACAGTGGCATGTGAGGGCTGAGGAACCAGACATGGGAGGAGGGGATGTGGATATCACTGGAGAAGTGGCATTGGTGGTTTGGAATAGGCCAAAGGAGAAAGACTCTTGAGTTAAGGATATGCAAAAAACAATAGAGGCCTGGGGCAGGGAAATTAGAAGAGTTATTTTTATCTTGTCTGGGACTTGAACAGGAGAGACTTGCAGGCATTGCTTGTTTTACTTTGTAAGGAGATGACACATTTTTCTGATTTTTATGTGAAAACAATTTTTATGTTCTTGAACTTTTTTTTTTTTTTTTAAGATTTATTTTTGTTGCAAAGTCAGATACACAGAGAAGAGAGGAAGATCTTCCATCAGATGATGATTCACTCCCCTAGTGACTGCAACGACTAGTGCTGCACCGAACTGAGGCCAGGAGCCAGGAACTTCCTCCAGGTCTCCCACATGGGTACAGGGTCCCAAGGTTTTGGGCCGTCCTCAACTGCTTTCCCAGGCCACAAGCAGGGAGCTGGATGGGAAGTGGGGCTGCGGGGATTAGACCCGACGCCATATGAGATCCCAGCACATTCAAGGAGAGGACTTTAGTCACCGGGCCCTCTTGAACTGTTGAGATTACAAATGAACAATCATTGTGTAAAATTTGGATTTCCCTTGTTCAGTGTTTTCAGTCCATTTTAAGCATGCCTATTCGCAATACTTGTGGTAATTTTCTCCGCCAAACTTGGTTTTCCCTTAGAGAGGGAGAGAGAAGTCTTTGAATGATGGACTCTGTCTGGCAGCAATAGCCAGTACTGGGCCAAGCTGAAGCCAGGATTCATCTGAGTTTCCCAAGTGGGTGGCAGGGCCCAGACGCTTTGGACAAATCTTAGAAAGGAACTGGATTGGAACCAGCTCCCTTAGGAAACTGTTGCAGGTGGTGGCTTTACTTGCTAAGACAGTGCTGGCTCCCAGTAACGTGTGTGTGTGTGTGTGTGTGTTCCCCCAAGCTCCTGTTTTTAAATGAAGACCCTCACTAGGAGGGTGTGTTGAAATTCCCCTGCCTATGGAAGAGCATACAGCCTCTGTTGAAGGATGTGGAATGTCCTAGGTCAGTTTTGTGAGCTAATCGCTTTACTGTAAGTGTTAATTTCGCGGGTTGGAGGTGGGGAGAAGGGGGAGGCAAGTGGCTTAGAATTACAGAAGTTTGTTCTTTTATAGTTCTGAAAATTAGAAATCTGAAATGGAGCTTGGCACAATGTATCAATGGCTAAATCTTCACCTTGCAAGCCCTAAGATCCTATAGGGGCACTGATTTGTGTTCTGGCTGCTCCACTTCCCATCCAGCTCCCTGTTGTGGCCTGGGAAGGCAGTGAGGGATGGACCAAAGCCTTGGGACCCTTGCCATCCATGTGGGAGACACAGAAGAAGCTCCTGGCTTCAGATTGGCTCAGCTCCTGGGGTTGAAGCCACTTGGGGAGTGAAACAGTGGATGGAAGATTTTTTTCTGTGTATCTTTCTCTCTGTGGATCTGCCTTTCCAATTAAAATCTGGGAAAAAAAGTATGAAATGGAGATGTTGGCGGTGCTGTGCTCCTCTTCCCCTGGTTTCTGGTAGCTTCCAGCAACTCTTGGTGTTCCTTCAGTTGCAGATGCATGGTTATAGTCTCTGCCTGCCTCATCCCGCAGAGGCCTTCTCCCTCTGTGGGTGTGTCTGACACCAGTCATTGGATTTAGAGCACAACCCTAATCCAGAGTGATTTCACCTTAAGTAATTACATCTGCAAAATCCCTGTTCCCACACATCCAGTTTGCAGGTACCAGAGGTGAGGACCAAAACATAACCTTTTAGGGGCAATGTGTTTCAAGCTCACAATGCAGCCTAGTGCTTTTTCTAACCGCATAACAGTTCCCTTGGAGTTGGTATCAGAGCGCTAAGGAAAGTCAGTTTGTCAGATAGAACTTTCCCATCTGAAGTCAGTACTTGCTGTCCTTGCCGCCCAGTCAGGGCTCCGTCCGAGTGGTCGGGGTGAAGCATGCTGTGGGGCAGCTTTGCTTCCTTTCAGCAGAGGCTGGAGCATCTCATTGTCACTGACGCGCTGTTCTTTTTTGGCTTGGGAAAGAGGCAGCCCGAAGTGTCCTTGGAGACTAACCAACCACACAGGGCAACGCTCCAGCCTGGAACACTGGTAGTGTTTGACTTTATCCACTGAGCTCTTATCATTTTAGTATGTATTTGAACTGTGATTGTTTCTCTCTGCAGTTCTAGAGCTGGATATAGAACATGAAGCACACTCCTAGTCTCTCAACATTTGTTCAAGGGGGATCGGTGTCTTGAGTGTTGTTGAGAATAGCTTGCAGAGTAGCTGAAGCTCAAGTTTTTCTTCTCCATCACTGTGGATCAACCATCTTGGAGCCATTTTGTGATTTATCTTTGTTCCTCTGCTGGGATGAAAGCAGCATCATAGGCCCGAGAATTTCTCAAGGGTTCTACCAAGTGTCTGATTTGAGAATATTTATCTCTTCTGTTAGCCTGCAGCCTTTCTTGTGATAGGATCCATGTCTGCATTGGTTTTTACCAAGAGTGGTTTTAATTCTCCAAAGTGGCTTGTTTGTAACCCTGTTCTTGAGAAGGATTGTTGCTGATGTTAAAGGGAGAATCCCTTCTGAGATTTTCTGAGTTGTGTCTCAATGTTCATCTGTGATGTTTTGCAGGTGACTGAGCTGAATGAACCTCTAACCAATGAAGATCGAAATCTGCTCTCTGTGGCCTACAAGAATGTGGTTGGTGCCAGGCGATCCTCTTGGAGGGTCATCAGCAGCATCGAGCAGAAAACCATGGCCGATGGAAATGAGAAGAAATTGGAGAAGGTTAAAGCTTACCGAGAGAAGATCGAGAAGGAGCTGGAGACCGTTTGCAATGATGTTCTCGCTCTGCTTGACAAGTTCCTCATCAAGAACTGCAATGATTTCCAGTATGAGAGCAAGGTGTTTTACCTGAAAATGAAAGGTGATTACTACCGCTACTTGGCAGAGGTGGCTTCTGGGGAGAAGAAAAACAGTGTGGTCGAAGCATCTGAAGCCGCCTACAAGGAAGCCTTTGAGATCAGCAAAGAGCACATGCAGCCGACGCACCCCATCCGACTGGGCCTGGCCCTCAACTTCTCCGTGTTCTACTACGAGATCCAGAATGCGCCCGAGCAGGCCTGCCTCTTAGCCAAACAAGCCTTCGACGATGCCATAGCTGAGCTGGACACACTAAATGAGGATTCCTATAAGGACTCCACTCTGATCATGCAGTTGCTGCGAGACAACCTCACCCTCTGGACGAGCGACCAGCAGGATGAAGAAGCAGGAGAAGGCAACTGAAGATCCTTCCAGTCCCCTGGCCCTTCCTTCACCCACACCCTCATCATCACCAATTCTTCCTTGCCACAATCACTAAGTATCTAGTGCTAAACCTATCTGTATTGGCAGCACAGCTACTCAGATCTGCTCTCCTGTCTCTTGGGAAGCAGTTTCAGATCAACCTTCATGGGCATTGCTGGACTGATGGTTGCCGTGAGCCCATAGGAGCTCCCTTTTTGAGATGTGCAGAGAAGTGAGTTCTGAATGAGGCATTTCACCATGCCTGTTGATCTAGGAGAAATTCAGGCATAAGTAATAGGGGCGTTTAGAAAGGAGAAGTGGCTATTTAAAACAAGCTGATAGTGTTTTGTTAAGCAGTACATCTTGTGCATGCAAAAAAAACGAAATCACCCCTCCCACTTCTTTCTTCAGCTAATGGAAAACTGTTAAGGGAAGCTGATACAGAGAGACAACTTGCTCCTTTCCATCAGCTTTATGATAAACTGTTTAATGTGAGGTTTCAGTAGCGCCTTGTTTTTTGCCTCTTTAAATTATGATGTGCACAAAACCTTCTTTTCAATGCAATGCATCTAAAGTTTTGATACGTGTAACTTTTTTTTGGTTGCTATTGTTTAAGAATCATGGATTTATTTTTTTGTAACTCTTTGGCTATTGTCCTTGTGTATCCTGACAGCACCATGTGTGTCAGCCCTTGTCAATCAAGATGGGTGATTATGAAATGCCAGACTTCTAAAATAAATGTTTGGAATCCAATGGGTAAATAAATGCTGCTTTGGGGATATTGTCCACGTGTACAGTCTTGATTTTCCCTTGGCGGGGGGGGATCTTCAACTGGTCGTGCCCTGAAACGTGGTATATGGCTCTGACTATGGGGGCCACGTTTTCCTGTCCTGTTAGACCATGATGTGTTTTGCAGCGCACATAGCAAGTTTCATGGGTTTTGAGTAGTTTCCTGCGAGCCCAGCTGATAGGGCCTCTCTGAACCAGTCTTCTGATAACTGATGCTTACAAGTGAGCCCAGCTGAACAAAGTGTTCAAAGTACAGCACCTCCGGAAGGCTGTGGTCTGTGTTTAACTTGGGAAGGTGTTTGGCTCACTCTGGAATGTTGATAGATGACACTGGGGGTAAATACTGAGCGTAACAAGTGCTTAAATTTACATTTTTAAAGATTTTATTTTTGGAATGGCAGATCAGATTTTATGGAGAGGAGGGACACAGATCTTTCTTTTTTTTTTTTTTAAGATTTATTTTTATTATTATTTTTTTCATTGGAAAGGCGGATATACAGAGAGAAGAGACAGAGAGGAAGATCTTCCATCCGATGATTCACTCCCCAAGTGAGCGCAACGGCCGATACTATGCCGATCCGAAGCCAGGAGCCTCTTCCGGGTCTCCCACACGGGTGCAGGTTCCCAAAGCTTTGGGCCGTCGTTGACTGCTTTTCTGGGCCACAGGCAGGGAGCTGGATGGGAAGCGGGGCTGCTGGGATTAGAACCGGCGCCCATATGGGATTCCGGGCGTGCAAGGTGAGGACCTTTAACCACTTGCGCCACCGCGCCGGGCCCGGGACACAGATCTTTCATCTGCCAATTTACTCCCTAGGGGTGATCAGGAGCCTGTTCCGGATCTCCCACACAGGTGCAGGGTCTCAAGGCTTTGGGCCAGCTTTCCCAGGCCACAAGCAGGGAGCTGGATGGGAAATGGGAGAAGCCGGGACATAAATGGATACCTTATGGGATCTCGGTGCTTGCAAGCTGAGGATTTAGGCACTGAGTCATCGTGTTGGGCCTACATTTTCTTAAGGCGAGGACCTTAACCACTGCGCCACCGCGCCGGGCCCCAGTAACTTAACATTCTTTAGAAGGAAGAGTTCTGCACCTCTTAAGTAGTCCTTCATTTCCTTCACCCCAGTGTCTCAAAGCGCAGTATTGATTAGCTACCTTGAGTGCTGTGTGCTAGTGAGTTGCTTCAGTTAAATATTGAAGTCCTTAACACTGGGCAAGCTTAGCACTGAGACCGTCCTTGGGTTAATTTGCTGGAACACGGAACTCAAAATGTCACAGTTTAACCAGTTTTCTCACTGAAGAAGTGTGACTCCTGGGTATTAAAAAGTACTCTTTAGGAAGCTGGCTTCCGGTTGACCCAGTTTGTAAGCTTAAAGTGGTTTTTAAGTTTCACTTCTATTAGTAAGCCAGGTGTTAATGCTGAAAACTTACTGTGGCTAAGAGACTTGGTTTTTGGTAAATGTAGAGAAAGCATTGCTTTGTGGAATGTACTTCACAGTTGTGCTAAAGCACAAACATTTTCACAACCTCCTGGAAGACTTGGTCCCCACTTCATGATGAGAAAGTGGGGATGCAGAATTGACACAGTTCAACACAGGAAAGCCTCTGCTACAGACCCAAAAATTGTTTCTTGAGAGGCTGACAGACTGGCGAGGGAGAGCACCCATACATTGCCCAAATGCTTGCAGCCAAACGGGGATGTAGGAGCTCAATCCAGGTTTCTCAGGAGCTGGGATCCAGACACCCCGACTTGGGATGCCCGGGTGTTCCAATCAGTTGCTTAACGGCTAAGTGCACCCCTTCCCCCACCCAGGTCCCTGGGTGGGTGCTGGCAGAACCACAGTGCCAAGGTTTGGATTTCTTTTTTTTAAAAAGATTTATTTTGATTATTTTTTTATTGGAAATGCAGATATACAGAGAGAAGAGACAGAGAGGAAGATCTTCCGTCCGATGATTCACTCCCCAAGTGAGCACAACAGCCGAAGCTATGCTGATCCGAAGCCAGGAGCCTCTTCCGGGTCTCCCACGCGGGGGCAGGGTCCCAAAGCTTTGGGCCGTCCTGGACTGCTTTCCCGGGCCACAGGCAGGGAGCTGGAAGGGAAGCGGGGCTGCCGGGATAGAACGGGTACCCATATGGGATACTGAGCATGCAAGGCGAGGACCTTAACCACTGTACCACTGCGCCGGGCCCCAAGGTTTGGATTTCTATATCAATGTTCTTTCAGGTCTTGGCAGCGGTGCAGCTTTTTTTATTTTTAAATTGGAAAGTCAGATATACAGAGAGGAGAAACGGGAAGATCTTTGTCTGCAACAGCCAGAGCTGCCCTCTGATCCAAAGCCAGGAGCCCAGAGTCTCTTCTGGGTCTCCCACACGGGTGCAAGGTCCCAAGGCTTTGGCCCATCCTCCACTGCCTTCCTAGGCCACAAGTAGGGAGCTGGATGGGAAGTGGAGTAACTGGGATACAAATTGGTGCCCATTGGGATCCTGTCCTGTGCAAGGTGAGGCTAGGCTACCACACCAGGCCCTGCTGTGCTTTTCATCCAGCTCCCTGCTCGTGTGCCTGGGGAGGAAGTGGATGATGACTTTATCTCCCACTGTTAGCCATGTGGGAGGGCCAGATGGAGTTCCTGGCTCTTGGCTTCTGCCTGGCTCAGCTCTGTTGCTGCCATTTGGGGAGTGAGGCAGCTGATGGAAGATTTTGTCTGTTACTCTGCCTTTCAAATGAATTTTACGATGTATTTGTTATTTGAAAGGTAAAATTACAGAGGGAGGGAGAGGTAGAAGGTTTCCATCCTCTGGTTTTCTCTCCAAATGGCTGCAGGGACCAGGGCAGGGTCAGGTTGAAACTAGGAGCCAGCAGCTTCTTCAAACTCTCCCATGTGGTACTCGCTTTGGCAGTGCACATACTAAAATTAAAATGATACGGAGATTAGCAAGGCTTGGGCCCGGCACCATGGCCTAGCGGCTAGAATCCTCGCCTTGAACCCGCCAGGATCCCATATGGGCGCCGGTTCTAATCCCGGCAGCTCCACTTCCCATCCAGCTCCCTCCTTATAGTCTGGGAAAAGCAGTAGAGGATGGCTCAAAGCCTTGGGACTGCATACGCATGGGAGACCTGGAAGAGGCGCTTGGATTCTGGCTTTGGATTGGTTTGGCTCTGGCCATGGCGACCACTTAGGCAGTGAGCCAGCTGACGGATCTTTCTCTGTCTGCCCTTCTGTAAATCTACCTTTCCAGTGAAAATAAATATTTTAAAAGTAATTATAAAAATGTTCCTCTGGTTGATCTCCAGGCTTAAGCACATAACCATAATAAAAAAATGATCACTTCATAAATTGTTAGTTTTAGGCTGGAGTTTTGAAAAAGCAAAAAAACACTAAGTTGACTGGAGGGAATCCATTTCCCCAACCAAAATGACCCGTGAGCCACCTAAACAACAAAGAGTGAAGGGGGTTGGGGCTGGCGTGCTGGTGTTGTGTACAATGGCTTAAGCAGCTCCTGAAAATGCTGGCAGTCCATGACGGAGTTCTAGCTGTCCAGTTCCAGACCTAGCTCCCTGCTAATGCACCTGGGAGGAACCGGCATGGATGGACCAAAGGCTTGGGTTCACCTGCGTGGGAGACCTAGAGAATATTCCTGGCTCCCGATTTCAGCTTGGACTAGCTTGTGCCGTGTGGCCATTTGGGGAGTGAAACAGGAGATGGAAGAAGACATTATCTCTCTCTCCCCCTCCTTCCTCCACATCTCCTCTCTGTCATTCTGAGTTCCAAATAAAACTAGATCTTTAGAACAAGAAACATGGCTTGATTTGAACAGCTCTCAGCTTCTCAGCAGCCTCCATAGAGATGAGGTGGTTGCTTCGGCAGTATTGCTTTCATCTCCCTCAGGGTGGTCCTCATCCTCTTCCTGTCTCTCTGCACCTTACCACCTCTAGCCTCTTTCCTTACACCCTCTAGCTCCTTCCTGCATCTGCCCTCCACCCACTTCACTTTCCTGGCCACCCCCTGGTTCCAACCGAGATGGTTGCCATGGGAACCGTCTCTCCTGGAAATGACATCACTCATCTCCTAGGCAACTGTTTCCAGGGCAGTGACATCATTTGATTACCATGGCAACTCTCTAGGAGGGCACTTGCACAGAGAAAGGGGCAGATAGAATTCATATGTATTTGTGGGGGGTTGGCAGTAGTGCAGGGAGGAGGCTAAGAAGAAAAACAGCTTAGCCACCAGAAGAAAAAGCTCTGGCTGTGTTGCCGGGGAAGAGCAGAAACTCCGGAGTGAAGCCCTATTCTGTGTCACACAACTGGGACACCCGAGAGTGAACATGCCTCTAGCATGATGCTGGGATAGCAAGTGAGCAAAGAGAAACCAGTGCATGTGCCACCCCGCTTCCACCTTCCCTCCATGTCACTGGCATTATTTCATTACCTGTATGGCTCAACGAGCAAGCACTGAGTAAAACCAGACCAGGTTCTCACCAGAAAGGAGCTGTGTGTGTGTGAGTGTGCGAGCTTGTGGAGGTGTGTGTGTGGATATGTGCATGAAAGTGTGTGTGAGGGTACGTATGTATGAATAGGTGTGAATGTGTGGGTTCACGTATGAGTGTCTGGATGTGGGTGAATGTGAGCATGCATAAATGTGTATGAGTGTGCATCTGAGAATGTGTGAGTGTGTGTGAATGAGCATGTATGTGAGCGTGTGTGCTCGCGTGCACGTGCGTGTGTGTGTGTGTGTGTGTGAGGTCAGGGTGAGCCACAGTCACTCAAACAGCAGTGCTCCAAAGAGAAGGAGCTGAACTCTGAAGAAGCAGCTTGGGGAGAGGGAGTTCATTAAGGGTGGGTTGGGGAGAAGACCTTGGCGCAGAGGGAACAGCATGTACAAAAGGAAGCTGCAAGGTTAACAGCAATAGCAGGAGGCCGGGGTTCCTGTGGAGACTGGAAGAGAGCCAAGTGCAAAACGAGGCTGGAGAGGGCAGGGTGGCAGAGACCAGGCCTCGCA